AAAAAAAAAAATAAATAAAATAAATTAAAATCTGTTAAAAATTCTGTTAAAATCTTAAAAACTACTGAATGTAGCCGTTATATTAGGGTTTATAAGACGACGTGGACCTGCACAGACAATTTTCTGTCATAGGCTGTAACATCCATCAAAATACCGAATATCGCTATACGACGCCATACGAAGATAATTTTCTAATTTAGGCTGTAGTATCCATTATGAACTTCAAATACCAAATTTGAAGCATTTGCGGTGAATAATGTCGCTAAAATCATCAAAATACCAAATATCGGGAGGTACCGTTATATGGGGGGCTATACGAAGACGTGGACCTGCACAGACAATGTTCTGTCATAGACTGTGGTATCCATTACGATCTTCAAATACCAAATTTGAAACAATTCCGGTCAATAATGTCGCTAAAATCATCAAAATACCGAATATCGGGAGGTGCCGTTATATGGGGGGCTATACGAAGACGTGGACCTGCACAGACAATGTTCTGCCATAGACTGTGGTATCCATTACGATCTTCAAATACCAAATTTGAAACAATTCCGGAGAATAGTGTCGCTAAAATCATCAAAAAACCGAATATCGGGAGGTACCGTTATGTGGGGGCTATACGAAGACTTGGACCGGTCCAGACAATTTTCTGCTTTAGGCTGTACTATCTATTACGAACTTCAAATACCAATTTTGAAACAATTCCGGTCAATAATGTCGCTAAAATCATCAAAATACCGAATATCGGGAAGTGCCGTTATATGGGGGCTATACCAAAACGTGGCCCATTCGTTCGGAAGCTAGAGTGATTTCCACAGACGGACATTTGAGACACTGAGACATTTTTTTCTATAGAAAAAAATCAGACCTCAGTGTGACTGAGACATTTTTTTCTATTGAAAAAAATCAGACCTCAGTGTGACTGAGACATTTTTTTCTATAGAAAAAAATCAGACCTCAGTGTGACTGAGACATTTTTTCTATAGAAAAAAATCAAACCTCAGTGTGACTGAGACGAATTTCTTCTATAGATAAAATCAGACTATAATGTGACTGACGCATTTTTTCTGACCTCAGTGTGACTGAGACGAATTTCTTCTATAGATAAAATCAGACTATAATGTGACTGACGCATTTTTCTGACCTCAGTGTGTGTTCACGGATAAGTGAACATGTTTTTATAATAAAAGAGAATAGCGGGGCTACCTAGTGTAGATGAGAGGGATTTGTTAAACTGGGATCTTCTTAATACAGTCCACATGAAATAAGATAAGAAAATGTGGTGAGCAGACCTTCGAGTTAGAAATAAATAATACAGAATTTTCAATTGCTGCATGTGTTATGGTGGAGTTAGATTATGGGATGTAATCTTTACTCAGACTGATAAGCAAGTGCAGCATGTTTGCTTGCCACATGTGAGATAGCTATGCGTGTGTATGACCTCCCCCTAAGGTTTATGGTGGCATGGTGCATATGCATGTGTACGGTTGGTATCTATCTCTCTCTCTCATTTACACTTAGTTATAATTTAGGTTAAGTCATATTATCACAACTAGTTCTTAAGAAATGTTTTTAATAAATAAATTCAGTGTCTTACAAACGCTCAAACGGAAAAGACGTTTGGTCTTTTAAATGATCCCAATTTACAGTGTGATTGGTCATTTTTTTACTGGCCTCTTTTCTACCGAAAAAATCAGGGCTCACTGTGACTGAAACGAATTTTTTCTATAAAAATGTCAATTTTTATTAATTTATTATATTTATTTAAAATGAGCTTAATTATTAAAATTTACTTGACTTAAATAGCTCTTCATAAGGCTTCTTCTCGAAATACATAAAATCTCCCCCAAACCAACAATTATATTCGAAATAATTTCAACTGCAACTAATTGCAAACATATTAAAGCCAAACCCTTGAATTCCATCATAAGCATGAAAAACTTAACGGAACAAAGGGAAACAAATAAACTAGCTAAGAGAAAACCCACAACAAAACAAACTATGACCATAAACTATTGTAAATAACAAGAAACCGCACAATTTATTTTCATTTGAAATTTATTCTTTGTTGTATTTGGATGGTTTTACTAGTTGAGAAACAAAAAAAAAAAAAAAAAAAAAAAAACGAAAAACTGGAAACGCAAAACCGCCCAAACAGAACAGCAGAAAAAAAAAAAAACAATAAATTGAATAATATCCATCCCCTTTCATCATAGCCGCCAAACAACTGAACTCATTTAAGTTGGTTGGTTGGTTGGTCATATAAGTACATTGTACGGAAAATGGTACGAATTACAAAAGCTTTCGTGGAATTGGAAGCCGGACGAAAAAAGAAAACCTAGTTGCACAGCAACAAAATAATGCTGTACAATATTGCAAATGGGAATTTTTCACAAATTCTGCAAACCATACCATCCTTTTTTTTTTGATGTCTACCAGGAAAAAAATGTTGCCAAAAAATGTTGTTGTTGTGAATTTTGGAGAATTCTTTTGCATGATTTGCTGGGTAGTGGGAATTTTGATACTAGTGTGAGTTCTCCAAATATGAGCACTTTTTCTCCGCCCTTCGCTAGTCAAAAAATATTGGTACCCCCATCAAGCTCTTCTGAAAATTATGTTAACTATCAACTATCCTTGTTGAAATAATTTATGGACTGTACTGTAGTTGTAATGAAATTGAATATCCTTTTGTTGAATTTCTCAACTTTGTAGTGACTAAAAAGGGGAAAAACGAACACAGTTTCAACCATTTAAGTGACATTAAATGTTTCATTTGTCATTGCGGTGAATTTAATTAATGCTAGCCAGGAAAACCGCAAATTTGTTTTTGACCGATATTATGTGGTCGGTACGTTGTGGCATGTTCTATGTCTAAAATGTGTAGCGAGTTAATAAAAACTAAATGGAATAATAAATTAAATTAGTTGTAGTTAATTTTATAATTGAAGCTCGCAAAAGAATTTAATTTTGTGAAATTGGGACTGCGGGGCGTATGAAAGATGTCAAAAGTTATACGCCGCATGGATGTGCTGTGAATTTAAAATAAAATCAATCGAAAAAAGATTACATTAAAAATCTCCAATTTGTATAAATTAAATTAATATACATAAAAATAAATTAAACCGGTAAGGAAAAGTCGAAAGTCGGGCAGGGCCTACTATATATGATACCTTACACCACTATGCATATTTAGTAGAGCCCCCGTAAGATAAGAATTTATATTGGGAATTTATTTGAAGTAGATCATACCACCTATCAACCTATAAGTTTAGGGCACTTATAATTTGGTTTCAGAGGGAATATGGGAGGCATATCAAATTCTAAATCCATTTTCGCCAATCCAAATTTGACCGACACATTTTTATCTTTTATACCAAGTAACATTGCCTGATATCACTACGAGAAGAATTATATTAACATTTAAAAAAGCAGCTAAGTTCGGCCGGGCCGAACTTTAAATACCCTCCACCATTTCGAAGGAACCTGAAAATTAAAAAAAAAATCCGAAAACAGACACTTTATGGGGGGATATACGAAATCGTGAACCTACATACGAAATTGTTTGTCATAGGCTGTAGTACCCAGTACGAACTTTAAATACGAAATTTGAAACAGTTCAGGTGAATAATGTCGCTAAAATCATGAAAATACCGAATATCGGGAGGTACCGTAATATGGGGGCTTTACGAAAACGTGGACCGACAGACATCGCTAGATCGTCTTAGAATTTTACGCTGATCCAGAATAAATACGAAATTTGAAACAGTTTAGGTGAATAATGTCGCTAAAATCATGAAAATACCGAATATCGGGAGTTACCGTAATATGGGGGCTATACGAAAACGTGGACCGACAGACATCGCTAGATCGTCTTAGAATTTTACGCTGATCCAGAATATATATATTTTGTAAGATCTATTATATTTCGAGGAGTTACAAATGGAATACTCCCTCCATAGAATGGTGGAGGGTAAAAAAAATATATATCGGAGCTGAGTTCCACCAAATAGAAACAGACGTCCCCAAATTCACTCCATTTGGGCTGATATAAGCCATTATTTGCACAATAAACCTGAAATCAGATTAAGGATGTATATTTGAGCTATATCCAAATCTGAGCCGAACTCGATAAAATTTGGCAAATTTATTTCTGAGCTCTATAAGATATCTAGTACCAAATAGTGCATATTACAAATGTGAGGGACTTAAAGACCAAATCGGATGAAACATATATATGGAAGCTACAGCTATCTCTGAACCGATTTTCACTAAATTTGATGTACTTGCTTCTAGACTGAATTCGGTCGGATGTGTCTAAATCCAGGTCATTTGAACCGATCTTGATAAAATTTAAATCGGATGAAACATATATATGGAAGCTATAGCTATATCTGAACCGATTTTCACCAAATTTGATGTTCTTGCTTCTAGACTGAATTCGGTCGGATGTGCCAAAAACCAGGTCATTTGGACTGATATTGGAAATTTGGTGCACAATTAACCCGAAATCGGTTGATTTTTACCAATCCTTGGGCCAAACAAATATTGTTTGGAAAATTTCATCTCTATCGGATAATACGGATAGACGGACGGACTGACATTCATAAGTCGACTCATAAAAATAAGAATTAATTTTTTTTTGCAACAGTGCGATAATCTGTTTATTTCAAACATAAATTTTGTATCGGAAAGTATTTCCATCCAGATTTTCGACTTAACCTATACCTCCTAGGCTTGGCACAATGGGTTGTGCTTAAAACTTTAGGATACAAAAATTAAATTAAATTACTTTAAATTACGTAATTTTCCTAAACGTATTGCATTAAAATCCACTTTTTCTGTTACCCCACATACCAATTGTGTTTATTTCAAATGTATAACTCCCAACCCCCTCGGTGTCACCACAACACCAGTGTTACTTAATTTAGAAATTTTTACAGCTTTTCCATTGTTTATTTATGTTTCTCTTTTTTCTATTCCATTCTCTTCTCTTACAGCCCACTCACAAAATGCAATCGGGTGAAGGTGCTCCCACAATTTCGTTGCAGTTGGTGCCAAAAATGTTAGCCCCATTGGTCAGCCTATGGGTGCCGCAGGCATTTGTGGTCTCCTTCAAATTGGAAACGGATGAAAATCTATTGATTACCAAAGCCCGAGATAGTTTGAGCAAATACAAGCACAAGGTAAGTGTTGCAATACAATGTATACAAAGTGTTTAATTTTTTTTAAAGACTTTAAACGTTTTTAGTTTTCCTGGAACTTTTGGTTCAAAAAAAAAATGTTATAAAGTTTGATTTCGGTATTCAAAGTTAAAAATCCAAAATTAAGAATTCCATTCAGGTTGATTGCAAATTCCAACAGAAGTTTTTCAAAATTGAGTATTCAAGGGTCTGAAACAAAAATGTTTCATATCTTCAGTATTGGTCCTCTCCTGCAACTACCCATGTTAGAGAAAGGTCAGGTGCAAATAAAGTAACCTTTGGTAGGAATAATGACCTTCAAACGGCCAATAAAACCGTCACACAATGCCGAAGAATGTTGCTCTGCGGTATTTTGGCCCAATCCCGGCGAAGCGCTCGCTTGAGGTGATCGACACTTTGGTATTTTTTAGTGTCAACCTTGCTTTTCAAAATACTCCACACACAATAGTCCAACGGATTGGTATCCGGAGATTTTGGTGGCCATTGTGCGCTGGAAATGAAGCAAGGAACTCATTTTGTAACCATTCTTGGGTGGCGCGTGCTGAGTGCGATGCTGCTGTATACTCTTGGAATATCCAAGATCTGCGGCCAAAATGTTTGCGTTCCCAAGGCTATAATACACCCTCCAGAATATTTTCGCGATGATATTCGGCATTCGATTGATACGAGCGGAGAGCGACCATCTGCTGTTATGGCTGCCCACACCATCACCATGGCCGGCGCTTGAGTTCTGGTGGCCAACCGAAGGTGGACATTTTCAGCTGACATCTTTGGCAAGTAAACACGACCATTTTGTTTTTGTACAAACTGTTGGACAGCGAATGTTTTCTCATCGGAGAAAACCAAATTCAGCAGTTCACCACTTTCGGCCAAGCGAAGCAACACTTTAGCTCTTTTGAGTCTCTTTTCTTTCCGTTGCGGTGTAAGTTCTTGCACTTTTTGGCGGTGTAAGTTCTTGTACAATGGCTTTACCCCGAGCTCATTTTTCAATATTTGCCGAATGGAATATTGCGATATGTTCAACTCACGAGCCATTTTTCGGCCACTGCGACGCGGGTTTCGAACAAGTCGTTTCTTTACTTTTCGAACCATTTCTGCTGATGTTGCTCTTTTCTACCGTCCACTTCCTTGACGTCGGCCTACGCTACCAGTATCACGGTAACGAGCGATGGTACGAGACACAAAAGATTTATTTACATTTAAATGCTGGAGTGCTCTAAGTATAGCCACTTGTGGTTTTCCAGCCAAATATAAAGAAATCACACTATCACGCTTGAATTCCATCACGAATAATTTTTTTCTGAAAATCCTCACCAAAATGCTTTTGTACGTTTGTAAACAATATAATGAGCTGGCACTGGAAAAGTTTTAACAGCTGTCGGACGAGTGGCTTAGAATTGACAGCAGTCATTTTGTTGGTTGCAGTTTTTTAATCTCATCCTGTATTTGGACCCTGGTTTTCCTTTTTTTTAAGTATCTCATGACTGAAAATATGAAATATTTTTTAAGAACATCCTAGTAAATAAGCGTATAGTTTTCATATAATTCAATCTATAACCGAGAGTCTCAAGACATTTCTTCAGTAAAAATCGTGGTATTCTGCATTTTAAGAATATTTACTGGCGTTTGTAAATAGGACAAACCTTGCCATTTGGCCGTATAAGCCTAGCATATAAAACTTAAGGATATACCTATCGATAAACCGACTGATACTTTCTAATTTGTTTTATTTCATAATATTAGAATAATGTCCACAGTCAGGTATTGTATACCGACATTTGTGCTTATGAACTTTAATAGCGTCCTCTGTTTCAGAAGCCTTTCTAGAAATCCTACATTTAATGTCATGACATTTTCAAGTACTTCCTTCCCTCTCTTCAAAAATTGTCCACACCTGTTGTTGGTTTTTTTTTTATAAATATATGTGTCCATATACACATTTTTCAATAATCAACAAAAATCCGCAATCCAATGATATTTTTAAATTTCACAAAAAATGTTTTAACATCTATTTTTCTGAATTCCAAATTAAAATTTTTCTAATATCAAACGTGTTTCACATACTAACAAACAAACAAACAAAACGAAAAATAAAAAACGATGACATTATCTTTGCTAGTTGACAGCAGTTAACATCCTTCCACTGGGAGTGTGTGTGTGTGTGTGTTTGTTTCTCTCTAAACATTTGTAGGTGTGTATTGTTTTATAAACAAATATCCTGTTTTGTTTATCTTGAACACATGTAAACAAAGGCAACACAAAATTGTGAACATTGGAAAAAAAGGATATTTCACTTTAGTTTCTGTAGCTGTATTTGTCTATGTGTGGGTGTATGTTGTGCATATATGTGTTTCCATTCGCATTCGAAACACTTGTCATTCGCACAAATAGCAATGGCCAAGCTATGGCAGTGGCAATGGACATAGAAGGAATGTAAGTGAATGTTTTGTAACTGCAAACTCTCTCTCTCTCTCTTCGCTTCCATATATTTCACTTCCACGTATCTATGTAATTGTGTCCTTTAAAACACATTCACCCACACACACACACATTCTTTTGTAGTGCTGTGCCCCCTCTCGATGGTTGTGAAACTGCAGGTTGTCATCAAAGTATTTACACAATAATTTCAACACAAACGCCATGTCCACTCGAATAGTTTAGGACATCATTTACACCCTTTTTGGGGGCGAAGATGGCAAAGGGACCCAAGTTGAATTGTTTAAATTAAAAATAACAAGTTAAAAAGTATCAATCGGTTTTGCCGACATTTGTGTACCCTCAGCCAAATAATCGAATAATTTGAAATATATGTATTTTGACTTTTGTTACGGTTATTCAAATTGTTGGCCATCTATTGAGTGAGTTCCGAAGGAATGCGCCAATATTTTCCATTTCGTATCGGACCTAAATAAATATGATAAAAATATTTATATGAGATATGTGATAATTTTTAGAAAATGTTGAAAGATATACCAAGTCTGAATGGAATCGAATGTTAATTTCACGTTTTATGAGCTTTATGGATATTCAAAATGTTGATCCTTTGTGGAGGAGGTACCAGAAGGAGTGGACCGATATGTCACATCTTCACAGCAGATCTTGTGTTAATGGAAATAATGGGATGTGTGAAATATGAGGGAGTGAGTATAAATAATGGGATGTGTGAAATGTACCAAGTCTGAAAGGAATCGAATGTCAATTTCGCGCTTTACGAGCTTTATAGATATTCAGAAGGAGTAGATCGATATATTCCATCTTCATATCAAACCAAAGGTTAATTAAAATATTGTGATATGTGTAATTTGAAGACAATCGGAATCCTACATCACATTTGATAAGAGTTATAATTATGTAATCTTTTGATCCTTTGTGGGGGAGGAACTTGATGATTCATTTTTTGTCCATTTTCGCACCTGACCTAGCACTGATGAAAATATTACCAGAAAGAGTGAACCAGAAAAAATCAACCGATAATGACCATCTCCGAACTTGATCTAAGTTTGATAGTAATATTACGATGTACCAAATCGGATACTCCCTTCGAAAGTTATCGTGCGCACCAGCCAGCCAGACAGGCGGACGGACATCGCTAGATTGGTTCTAAGAGACCTAGAGTTTCGATGAGGCACGTTTTGGTTTTATCAAAATGTGAGGGTGAGATAAAAAAAACTGCAACAAAGTCAAACGCCATAATTTTTACATTTTTTTAAATTTTATTGAATGAAAGCAAAAAATGTCGGAAATAGCATCGAATTTTAGAATAAGTATAGATTTGTTCGAATTGATCACCTTTGAAACACACGCTACCCGAATGTTGCTCTGCGGTATTTTGGCCCATTCCCGGCGAAGCGCTTGCTTGAGGTGATCGACACTTTGGTATTTTTCAATGCCAACCTTGCTTTCCAAAATACTCCAGACACAATAGTCCAACGGTTTGTTATCTGGAGATTTTGGTGGTCATTGTGAGCTGGAAATGAAGCGAGGAACCATTTTGTAACCATTCACGGGTGGCGCGTGCTGAGTCCTGTTGCAATGTCCAAGGTCTGCGGATAAAATGTTTGCGTGCCCAAAGCTTTAATACACCTTCAGAATATTTTCGCGATAATATTTGGGATTTATTCTGATGTCATGTATACGAGCGGAGTGCGACCACTTCTGTTATGGCGGCCTACACCATCACCATGGCCGGCGCTTGAGTACTAATGGCCAACCGAAGGTCTAGATTTTTAGTTCACCCCTTTGGCTATAAACACAATCATGTTATTTGTTTACAAACTGCTGGACAACGAATGTTTTATCATCGGAGAAAACCAAATTCCGCAGTTCAACATTTTAACATTTTAGCTCCTTTGAGTCTTTTTTCTTTCTGTTGCGGTGTAAGTTCTTACAATGTAATTTCAATGGCTTTACCCTGAACTTATTTTTCAATATTGGAATATTGCGATATGTTCAGCTCACGAGCCATTTTTCGGCCACTGCGACGCGGGTTTCGTTTCTTTACTTTTCGAACCATTTCTGCTGATGTTGCTGTTTTCTTCCGTCCACTTCCTTGACGTCGGGCTACGCTACCAGTACCACAGTAACGAGCGATGGTACGAGACACAAAAGATTTATTTACATTTAAATGCTGGAGTGCTCTAACCATAGCCATTTGTTGTTTTCCAGCCAAATATAAAGAAATCACTCTATCACGCTTGAATTCCATCACGAATAACTTTTTTTCTCACCAAAATGCTTTTGTACGCTTGTAAACAATATAATGAGCTGTCACTGGAACAATTTTAAAGGCTGCCAGACGAGTGGCTTAGGAATGACAGCAGTCTGAAGTTGGTTGCATTTTTTTAATCTCACCCTGTATACCCTGTATATATAAAAAATAGGGACAGTTTGGGCTAGTTTATTTTTTACCATAAACTTAATTAAACGATTTTTTATATCACAGGTAAAGTCATCAGCTCAGATTGCGTCAATGGGTTTTTTTTAATTGATTACCCTTTATTTGCATTCTCAGAAATAGTTTTACGTACTTTCATGTACTTTTTTATGTTACCATTGAACTATACATTTTCTTTATAATAATTGTTCTCATTGTATTTATGTTTTTGTTTCTTTTTTCTTTGCAGTTGGTTATTGCAAACATTTTGCAAACACGTAAACACCGCGTGGTCTTTGTAACGCCAACCAGCTCCTATGAAGTACACCTGAGTAGAGAACAAGCACTGCAAGGCCTTGAAATTGAGGAACCAATTGTTGCTGATGTAGTAAGTACCAAAAAAAAAAAAAAAAAAAAAAAAAGGAAAAACTTTTGCTTTTCTTTGGCGTGTTTTTGTTAAGTTATTGTTGCTGTTATTTATTGCCGTTGTATGTGGGGCCTAGAAACGTTGGCCTTTTTAATTTTCATTGGGTCTGTGTTGTCGTTAGGCAGCAAACTAAAATAAATAACATTTTAGAATGTTAAAAGGGGCACTGGAATGTTATGGACTTTTGTTTGAACTTTTGACTTCGTCTTCTACTCCTTCTTCTTCTTCTTTTGGTGAACAACGTCAAACACAAATTTTAATATTAAAAATAGGGGGAAAGGTACGATTTTAACCTTTTGACTTCATTAGGCCATGCATAATATACACAAAAATGAGAAAGTTTTGTAAATTCTCTTGACGTGAAATTAATATTTAAAGAGGTTGTTTCTTTTTGTAGGCTTGGAAATTTATTGCAATAAACAGTACATATATGCGCAACCATAAACTTTTGGAATAATAGAAAAAAAAAAAAAACATTTTTAAAAATGGTTTAAAATTGTCGCATATGTTTAAAACAAATTAAATAAATATTTCATATTTTTACTGTGCCCGCTATTTCATCAGCAAATAGTCCACCATCGAATTTTAAATTCGTTCTAAAATTTGTTTTAGACCTTTTTAGTACTCAAACTGCACAACTTAAGCAGTTTGATAATTTTTTTTTAGTCAAAACTTCATTACATTTTCCTACTTTCAGGGTTTTATATATATTTTTCAAGTTTTTTCCGAAAGAATAATAGAAAAATGTTTGCCTTTTACACCAAAAAGTCTTTAAAATCTTTGAAACTTAAGGATGATACGAATGAGATAAAAAACTGCAACAAAGTCAAACGCCATAATCTTATATTTTTTTTTAATTTTATTGAATGAAAGCAAAAAATGTCGGAAATAGGAATAAGTTTAGATTTGTTCGAATTGGTCAACTTTGGCACGAATTGTGACCTTCAAACGGCCAATGAAACCGTCACACGCTGTCCGAATGTTGCTCTGCGGAATCTTGGCCATTCCCGGCGAAGCGCTTGCTTTAGGCGATCGACACTTTTGTATTATTTAGTACCAAACTTGCTTTCCAAAATACTCCAGACACAATAGTCCAACGGATTAGTATCCGGAGATTTTGGTGGCCATTGTGCGCTCATTTTTTAACCATTCTTGGGTGGTGATTCTTGGTGCTGAGTTCTCTTGGAATGCCCAACGTCTGCGGCCAAAATGTTTACGTGCACAAAGCTTTAATACACCCTCCAGAATATTTTCGCGATAATATTCGGCATTTATTCTGATGCCACGGTCGATTATTGCGAGCGGAGAGTGACCATCGGCTGTCATGGCCGGCTCTTGAGTTCTGGTGGCCAACCGAAGGTGCAAATTTCAGTCAGTTAACAGTTCATTACTTAATTTAGCTATGTTTGTACGCCCGTTTGTCAGGTTGGTGCGGCAGAGTACTCTCGAAGAGAATATATGATTTCGTCCAATTTTTTTCTTTGTCTGTAGAGACCCTCTAACAAAATTTTATTTAAATCCATCGTTTTTAAGAAGTCATCTGTGGAAAAAAACGTTTTAAAATCAAAGATTGTTGCTTCAGTTCCATAAAATGTATAAGTACCATCTATTATCATTATTGTTTTGTAATTTCTATTTTTTTTTTTTAATTGATAAACTTGTTCCTTTCCACACACCTCTACAATAATATCCATCTTCTTTGCAGGTACAAAAACACAGTGAGTTCATAAATTCCGGTATGTCTCGACAATGACCAATGTCAATGCGACAGCGACAACAACAACAACGGCATCACATGCAAGTTGATTGTCGCGTGACAACGCCGCATTTTTGTCGATTGCTGAATCCTGGACCTGGTATTGGACGACGGTATTAAAATTCATTAAAATTAAAAAAAGAACAAACACTAACGAACAGAAAACACCAAAAACAGCTGGAAAAGCAACAACAAATAACCCACATAACTCAAACAACAAAAACAATTTGAAATATACTCTATGCAAATTAGAACAACAACACTCCCTGAAAAAAAACGGCGCAACTCTATAACCCCAACAGCAACGCCCATGAAATTAACATATATTCAGGTAAACAAATTATCTTTATTGGAATTATACCCCCCACACTCTGGCTCCCAAATGATTTAAACATCACCATCGCCCCATCACCCACCCGCTGCTCAGAAGTCATCACACCACCTATCTATTGGGCAATTTCGGCATTTTCGCCCAATATGGGGACTCTACATTGCGTGTGTGCACGGTAGTAGGTAGGGGAGTAAAATTCCTAATTTGTATTTTCCCTAGTGATAAATGGGTAGTTATCTTATTTTATTCTAAATTAAGTTTTTTGTTTAGTTTCTCAACTTTCATTTTCTTCACTCGTCCTCTTTTTTTATATAAATATCTTAAAAACATAATTATAGTTTTTATTAAGTTTATAAATATTTTGGTATGTCTAGCGACATTTATTATTAATTGTCTTGGGGATTTCGGTTGTTACATTTAGTAATTAAGTTCTATTACTATTATTGTTTGTAGGGGGCTTATGAATAATTTAATTTGAAATATTTGACGGTAAAGGTCATGCAATGATGGCTTCAGGTCATTTAATTTTAGCTACCTATCAATCATCATTTTTTTATCATATCTAATGTTATTGTCAAATTGTTAGCAGGTTGTTTAGGGGTCAAATGCAGGGAAAGGTAATTTTTGTTTTTAAGAATTTTGGCATAAGTTAATTAACATATAAATGTTGGTATGTCCCACGTTGGACGCCATTTTGTTTAATGGAAATATTGTTATTATGAGGAATGTTAATAGTCATTATGTCCTTGTTCAGCTCACACCATGGGATGTACATTTTCCCCCTTTTTCATCATATGTATCAGTGAGATCAAAGATGGTACTCAAATTAAAAAAGAAAATACAAAGATTGCGGCACTTCAGGGATAAAAAGATTGGGCGCCGTTTTAATGTGGATCTTAAATCGAACTTTTTTAAACTTGCTTTGTGAGGCCATACTCAATTTATTTCTGATTTAAAATCGCAACCCCTTTAAACTCATTCTACCATATTTCCACCTTTTAAGTTCTGATAGTCTAAATCGCTTCACCTTTTTTGTTTATTTCGTCTTAATGGAGCAAGAACAAAAATAAAAAAAATTCAAAAACAATAAATTTGCCACACAAAAATATCAGACCAAGTTCGTGACCTGCTTTAAGTGTTGAACGCGAACCACCACACCATTAAAAGCTAACACACAAATTCAAAATACAACAACACATTACAGCAATAAAGTCTTCTGTGTACTATGAAAAACGTTGTAGGCTTCAAAACCCTAACCTACTAACGGCAAGGACAAATCCATAAAAAACTTAACAACAAAACCAACACCTCATTTAAATGCCAGTGAATGTGAATATCCTTTTGTATGGGGTTCGTTTTATAATGTTAACTGTGGTAATATATGCATCTGGTAAATGTGTCAGTAAAAATATGTGTAATAGATGGATGGTTTATGGGAAACTTCCATATCCAGTTGATGGTAAAAAAATATATATATTTTATAATATAAATAATTGAATTATTGATTTTGTTGGAACAGAATGTCAACATCTGATCTTGAACTCTCGAAGAGATCGAAATTAAGGAAGCACAAACTACGTGGAATGTCGTTTATGTTGGGCGCTAGTTTGATTATATTTCCGAATTCCGAGATGTGCAATTTTCTTGAAAAGTTTTACGCCAGAGAACGCCTAATGGAATAACGCTTACTTTGGGGCCAGTTTTAAATTTCTTTCCATATGTATTTATATCATTGAAAATATAAAACAAAAAATCCAACTGTTTCGCTCTACAAATTTAATGGCATTAAAACTCTTGGCCAATTAATTTTCCTTGCCATGCTAAAATCCTTGATAAAAATGTCATTCCTATTTGTGTCACGCGACGAATCAAGCAAATAACCCAGCCACCCAGTCAGTAAGCAATAACCCTTTTATATTCTCGTTCTCTCTCGGCAATGAATGACCAATTCATTCACACCTTAACATTCTAATAAAATGTTGAGAAATTTTAACAACTTTGGAACATGCAAAATGACAACAAATTTAAACGTTACATTGATTGCAATTTTTTCAGATAAAGCAGACAGTAAAAGATTAAGGCAGGGAATTTAATAAAAGGTAGGATGATTTAAGAAAAGTGAATTCCCGAGGGTGAATTTCATTATTTCCTAAATTGGTTTTACCGGAAAATCTAACCCACATGTTTTTTTTTTCTTAAAAGTTATCTGTATATAGATCTTTTGACCTAATTTTTCGTTAGAAGAATTGTCAAAGATCTTATATCAAAAAATGGGAGCATTATGTTTGAACGTAAACTTATCCGCCGATAATCAGCAGCTGAACAATTATTTATTCAAAAGCTGTTTTGGACTTAAGGTGTTTATTTCCATCTTATCTTTTAAAACAGAAACGTTTTTTTTTTGTTAATCAACTGTGTTATTTTTCCTTTAATAATTTTTATTTAATTTGAAAAATATTAAATTTGTTACTTTTAATTGACTTCCTTTCTTAACTCCTTTATTCAATTCTTCATCATTTTGAGTTTTTATTATTTCAAAATTGATTTCTCGGCTTTAGTCCTTACATTTTGTTTTTAAATTTTGGATTTTTTTTTATTAAACAAACTTGTTTTCCAATCCTTAATTTTTATTTGTGAATTTCGGATTTTATTTGTTTTCAAAATTTTTGTACTTTTTGAAAATTTTAATATATATTTTTTGTTATTTATTATTCTTATTTAAATCTTTTTGTCCACTTCTAATATTTTATTTATCACAGTATATCCATTTGGATTGAATTTCTGAAAACAATTAAAGCACTTCGTTTGAGTCCAGGCTGCTAATGGATCGAAAATTCTGTTCAATGAAAACATTTACCATACAGTTTTTTACAATTTGATGTAAAGTTTCTGATAAGAGCATAAAAAATGAAGTTTACCACAATATTTTTGTACAATTGAATACAGATTGTATATTTTAATATCGCATTTTTAACCATTGACAAAATTAGGCTAAGGCCTGCAAATTGTGGGTATGGAAAAACAAATAAGCTAGAAATTTATTCTTACATGTTTTCTGTAAATTGTCATCTTATTTCTTACAATTTGCAGGCCTTCTCCGGTACGAAATTTTGTTAAATCTTCTGCATTTTTCACAACGATTTTTGTTTGTTTTATTATTAATTTAAAATTACTTTGTTCCCTAATTTTTGTGAACCCCCAAAAATAAGTACATGATTTATATATTTAAACATATCTATAACATATTCTTTTCTAGTCCTAATAAAACGACTAGGAGTTTCCGTGTTTTGCCACGAGTTTCTTTTAATTTGAAATAATTTTATAAATCATTTGTTATTATTACGCTTTGTAACAATTTAGTTTATCGATATTCTCTTCTAGATATAAGATGAAGACTAGGAATTGACTTTACATACTATAAGGCATAACATTTTGTTATGCCTCCGTTGCGTTTTACAACTCAGAAATATAAATTAAGTTGTAATGCGCAGCAGAGGCATTCATTTTGATAAGAAAACCCTACAAATCTTCATTTAAAAATTTTTAATTAATTGCAGAATTTCCGGCGCCCAAGGCGTCATATGTTTTAACATTACTGAGCAATTACAATTTCAACTTGTGTTCAATGTTTAATATAGTTTACTGAGCCTTGATCAGTTACATTTTTTCTCCGGGAGAACATTGCCCAAAAAGGAATTCAATTTTTCTTCTGTCATTAATTTCAGCAGTGATTGGAGGAAAAATAATGTAAAAAGAAACATATATATTTGTTATTTAATGTATCATTATGTATTAACTTCATAGTATTCATTCGAATAGAAAATAATTTACCCTAAATATTACTGACAATTTTTTATACATGCCTACTATTTTTTCAAAACTTCGTTTAAATGTCAAAAGTAAAATTGATGTGAATATACACAATATTGTCTGTATGGATTTTTCAAAGTACTTGCCTGCTTTTTTATAACAAATTGTTTGACGCAATTGCACTTTGGGAGATTGCAATCAAGTCAATTTTTCTAATTGACATTTTTGTTAGAAAATTACCTGTTGACTTTTATTGTTGTAGATAAATGTGACTGTGTTATGTGTCACCACCATGTTTTTATGTCCTTTTATATAAAATTAAACAAAAAATGTAAAACTACTTTTTCGACTTGAAATAGACTTTTATTCAAGTTAATTTCCTTTGCCTATTCAGTTTGATGGCAAAAGATATACATTTTGTTTTGTATATTGTTTAATAAAAATACATTTTTAAGTAATTATATTCAAAATTTGGATTAATAATTTGTTATATTTTGAGTTTAAACGTCTAAGGAACACTAAATTTTTTGTGACAGGCGAACTCATTACACTGCAATATAATAGATTTAATTAGTAATGGAAAGTAATAGTATTGTAAAGTGTCAACATCTTTAACAGACTGAAAGGAATGAATTTCAGCGAAAGATATTTTCTTTGAAAAAAATGTTTTTATTACACACAGGGCCGGGAAACTCTATATTAAAAAGTAATCAGTTTTTTATATGAATAACACATTATCTATTATTTCTTCAAGAACATTAAAACAAATGGAAAGTGGGATATCATCAAAATGTTTTTCTCAGAAAGATATTAAGGGATAAATTTATAGAATGATGATTACGAATGCTCCCATCTAATTAAAAGTAGTTTATATATTATATCATAAGCTGCTTTTCGTATACCAAACATGAAATTCAAAACCGAAATATTGTACTATTGAACGAGAAATGAATTTGGCAGATGATTTCAAATTCCACCACTTAAACATTTCATCTCATGTTCTTGCTATTATTTTTTATTTGCAAAATGTGGAATGAATTTAATTTTCTTAGGGTAAACATAGAAACCCTTCCACTTCAAAGTTTGCCTAAATCCCTTGGTTCTATTTTTGAAAAGAATTGTTTCCCCTTAGAAATTGTTTGAGATAAAAGTACTATAGACAAAGAATCATCGATCTTTTACCAACATTGTTAGGATCATTTCTTAACAAATGTAGTCCCTGTTAAAAGCTCACATGGAGTTGACTGTTTTAAAAATAGTCAATAGAAAAAGAAAATATATGTAATATATATTTTCTTAAAATAAAGTTTTGTTAACCATCATGTCAATAAGTATAAATAAAATACCTGCTATGGATATTTTTAAAATTTAATATCCCGAACCACTTAGAGTTATTTGGAAAAGGAAGATAAATGTTTTGAAGAAGTGGGCTTAGGTATCTAGTTACGTTGGCCATTAATCTTCCTAATACCTAGCAAAATATATGTAAGTTAAGTTAATTGTGATCAGAAATCTTCCTGATTGTTATTGCGATGCTATGCACCTCTTTATTTAGAAGTCAAAGTTAATTGAAATCAAAAATCTTGTTAATTGCTTTTGCGGTGCTATGCACCTCTTTATTCAGAAGTCAGCTTAGAATTGATTTTAATTGTGTCCTATAACTATAATTGAGGAGTGCTGTGGCGATCACGCCACTTGCATTAACTGCTAAATGTTGTTCCCACCGTTCAGTGGAATATGATCCTCTGAAATTCCACCTACTTTTTAAGTGACATCATTTTCCCAGCTTCTAAGATTGTTACCTTCGATCATTATTGAAGACCAGATCTGGGCTCTATGCTCTAATCGGTCCACCAACATCTAAAATAATGCTCTCCATTATTACACAGACACATACCTTGGCGTCTATAAGTTATGCTACATACTTTTTGTCCAGTTTCTCAATTACGTAGTTTCCATCATTATCGACGCCTAGACTTGTGAACTTATTGGCTGCGTTAAAATTTTGTTTATTTGTGTGTGACCTAATAGGAACACTTTCATTAATTGTTATCGTCCATCATAACCTATGAAAACTATGATCTTCTTGCATATAGACACATACTTTGTAAGTTATGCTATAAACTTTAAGCTTTATTCGTGCGCACTCAAAGTATGCTTCATTTTTTCTTGCCTCCCACACCCACATTTAATTGATTTTGCGTTCCGTCCCCCTGACTATGATTGTTATTAACAAAAATTAATTTAGTTTTTTTGTTTTGTTTCTTTTTTCACTTAACTTTATTGTTAGTGTTTTCCTTCTCCAGCTCATTCGAACATTTTCTCTTCATGTTTCGTCAATTTTTATTATGTACTTACTTTGGTTAAACGAATTAAGTCAGTTATGCTGCGACACGTGCCAAACTTCAGGTCATTACATTCCCCCACGGTATGGATGTTTTGCCTTACTTGTCAATATTCCTTAGGGAGAGAGAGGGGTGGGGGTGGGGTGGGGTAAGAATATGGTCGGAAGGTGGCTCTAAAATTTAAGCGTCAAAGAAATTTACTAACAGGACTTTAAGTGTGAAGGAAGAGAAGGAAGTGGACTTCGTGGAAGATAACCAATTCGGCAGGTCAAGTTTGGAAATAAACAAAAAGCGATCCAGTTTTTGTACAAAAAGTTCCAATAGAAGCACAAGAAATTTACTTCAGAATAAAACGACGCCGTTAAAGTCGAAATCTTCCTTTTTAAAGTTGTCAATGCTGGGGATTCATTCAGTTTCCTTGAAACTTAGGGACCTTCCTATAATTTTATTTTTTTTTTTAATTTAGATTTTCAACAATGTATACTAACATTTCTTATCAAAGTCGGTTAAGTTGATTAAACATTTACACAACGATTAAGTGAAACGCAAACTTGATCTAAAAATTAAGTGAAACGCAAACATGATCTAAAAAATACTACTTTGTATGAAAAATATGATTTTTAGCCACATCGCCCTGGGTTACGGAAAACGAGACATCAAGCGCTTAGATGATGTTAATAGTTCCGTGACCATATTTGTATTTTTTTTTATCCTTCAAAATTTTTACCAGATTATCCCTTTTAATTTTTGGAAAAGAGTTATCTTCAGAATATTGAAATGTGAAAGCTAAAGTGAAACTAGCTCCTTTAGTTTTAGATTTTCATCAAGTCAGTGGCATTTCTTGTAAAACTTAGTCTTTGTCTTAGTGTGGATCCCAGTTAGTTAATTTCCGCCTTGTAAGATTAAGCGCGTGGGATGTTGGAATTTCCATGTCCCGGTCATATGTGTGAACCCATTTTTTCCTACAAAAATTTCACCAAGTAATGCTTTGGACAGAACATTTGTAGGAAAATAATTGAAATATGGAAGCTAACATGAAATTATTTCCTTTAGTTTTAAATTTTCATCAAGTCAGTGGCATTTCTTGTTAAACTTAGTCTTTGTCTTAGTGTGGATCCCAGTTAGTAAATTTCCAACCGTTTCAATTTTCAACGCATGAGGGTTGATAGGGTTAAAAATAAAAACACAAGAAACCCAATTTATCTGTTTGGATCGTACTT